AATTTATTTTCCTTGTATCCCCACCCTACTCCATTGTTTATCATTGATGAACATGTTACCAAATACTCAGTTTTTAGCATTAGTTTACTTGGTTTGTCAGAAGTGTTTGATAACTATCTTTCTAGACAATCTGTTCTTTTCTAGGTTTTGTGATCCAGGATGGCATGAAACTTGTTTCTTCTTCCACTCTCCCACTTGTGCCAGGTTTGTAAAGTTAAGAAGGCTTATCATAATTAAAAACTTCTCAAATCCCAGTCTAAAGCTTCAAAGATGATCTTTTTCTAGTGAAAGAGTCCATATATTTACTTCCTCAGAACTTCACAGAGCCATTTGCTTGTTGTTCATCATGGAAAAAATATACAAATAAAAATGTCCAAATTATTGTCTTATAACAATCTAAATAGGAAGATGAAATAACTGTAAAACTAACTGAGGCAAAATATTGTAATCAATTAATGGATGGCAAAGGTAACAAATTTTTTTGTGTGTTTGTTTTGTTTTGTTTAAAACAGGGTTTCTCTGTGTAGCTCTGGCTGACCTGGAACTCCCTTCATAGATCAGGCAGGCTTTGAACTCACAGGGTTCCATCTGCCTCTGCCTCTCAAGTGCTACAATTAAAGATATGAGCCACCATGCTCAGCTGAAGATAACATATTTTAGAGTCTTAATGAAGACAAATATTGTGTGTCAGTGTGATTAGATTTTAGGGAGGAGTTAGAATTCAATCTATGTCTTATAAATTGAGGCACACCACGCAGGTACAATCCTACCATAAGTCTGTGAAGCAACCTATGCTGTCCTAAGGATTAAGTTTGAGTACATAGTTGGCCCCAAAGATACTGTGAGATCCAAGTTTGAGAAGGTGATAGGAACTAGATTGTGGCAGAGAGACATGAAGTTAAAAACTCAACTCCTATATTTTATCTTCCTGAAAATGTGACACATTTCTTAAAAAGCAGTAATAAAAATTAAATTCTATAAGGTTTTATAACAGCCTGAGGGTTCCAAAATTGATAAATGCTTAGAATCTTTTGTACTTGTTTTAGATTGCCGCATGCGACTCTCAGCTCTTTCCTAACAATAATATGCTCATTATATGTTACATATTACATAGATTACAATCTTCAGAAGATTATAGGTTCAGTACACTTGCTGAAAAAATACCTCACAATTATCAAGACTGGATGCACATATTAGCCATGTGTAATTAGTATAGAAGATGAAACAGAAATGGGCTCATGTTGAATACTGATGGCTGTTGAAGTTTTGTTTGAATGGGAGTAAATTCTAGGAGTGAGTTTTCTCCTTAGAAAACAATGAGAATAATCAAATGCACATATTAAGGTTGTAAAGCAGAAGGTCATCATCCTTGGCAAGAAGAGGATTAAAGAAAATGAAGTCGGTTTAAAATGTTCTCTCTTAATGAATAAACCTGAGTGATAAGAAGCTCTGAGGAAGGCCTGGAGAGACAAATAGAGGGGAATTCAGGGATGTTTGGCTGGGGAAATAAGATCTTTTAGCTCAGTTGACCTCAAGTTCCTGATCCTTCTCCCCTGCCTCTCAATAGAAGAGGTTGTTGATGGCTGTTTCAGCCTGTAGCTGGAGTAGGAATACAAATCAATGGAATCCCAGAAAGCCCAAGAGACTTCCACAAGTTCTCAAGATAGTAAAGTGAAGGAAGAACCTAGAATTGCTGCTTCACCCCTGCATGTGTATTGCCTGGAACAATGTTTTGCACAGATCACAAGCTCAATAAATACTTGTTGACTGAATGATGAATGAATGAACCCTAGATTCTTACTTCTTTACAGGATTATTTTCTTTACATTACACAATGGCTCTGAGTTCTGAATCTTGAGAAACACCTTGTTTTGCTTCATTATATTTTAAGTGGCCCTAAATATAAAAATATAATGCCAAATTTTAATTTTCCAGCTAAATCTTAACTCTTAACAAATATTTCTTCCAGTTCTGGACTTATGTCATAAGGAATCCTTTTCTGTAGACGTTGCTCCTCTACATGATTTGAAGGCTGTAAAAGGTCAGCCTGCTAGTGGAATCTAGGCTAATTATATAACAACAACAACAAAAACATAAAGCAAGCAAGCAAGACCTGTTTGCACAATGTTAAGGATAAAGATGATAATGCAAGAACTTACTTAACAACAGATCACAGATCTATCATATGTGATGTATTAGTGTCCAGGGCTGTCATAACAAAGTTATACAGATGGCTGGCGTGAATACATTTATTTTCTCAGAGTCCCTGAGACCTGAAGTCAAAGACTCAGGTGTCAGCCAGATTGACTACTGAGGGTTATAAGGGAAGGATCTACTCCATACCTTTATCTTTGATTGTAGGCAACGAGCTTCTCTTGGTATTTTCAGATCTCCATACTACTGTTTGTGTCTGTGTTCAAGTTTTTGTATTGTAAGGATAGCAGCAATATCATATTAGGACCCAAAATAACAACCTCATTTTAATTACCTCTTTAAATATTACATCTCCAAATAAGGGTTCATCCCAGGTTTCTGAATGTTAAGAATTCAACATTTAAGCCTCTGTGTGTGTGTGTGTGTGTGTGTGTGAGTGTGTGTGTGTGCTCGCGCACGTGAGCGTGCACATGTGCGCCTGTGAGAGAGAGGGGGGTGGCGAGGGAGGGGAAAGGGAAAGAGGAGGGAGGGGGAGAAGGAAAGAAAGGAGAGAGGGGAGGGGGTAGAGAGAGGGAGGAGAACCACTTTTATCACATCATCTTGGAGAACAGAAAATTGGAAGACTCTTGAGGACCAGCTAAAAGGAAGTACATTCTTCCCAGTATTATAAAAAGGAGTAAGCACTTGCTGGGGGAAGAGACTGAGCAGCAGAACTGCAGAGAGAAGATACTGTTTGATCACAAGCTGTGTTGAGAGCCCCAGAGTTGCAGCTATTGTGAATCTTTGCCCATGTTGGGGAAAGGATTCTCAATAATGTAGCTGCTTTTGAGTCATCTCTACTCCTGCAAAATTACTCCTCACCATAGTCCTGTTAGTAACCTCCTAAAACTCACCTGTTCACCAAGTTGGATGTTGGTGCAACTGTTTCTTTAGTCTGTCATGTGTCCCAGTTCTGGGGTGAATAGACATGTATTGTAGCACACAGCAGTTCTCCATCCTATTTCCCAGTAGCAGCTGAAGTAATGTTAATAAAACTTCTAGTTTGAAGTTAAACATGCAATTGCCCAACAACATCGAGGTCTTGCTCAGATAGGTACACCATTCAGCTGTAACAAGTTGACCTCCAAGTTTTCCTGCCACTATTCTAAGAGTAGCTAGGGACTGTGGCTTTACTGATACAATTGTCCAAAAAAAAAAGTACATCATTAAAATTAGTGAAACAACAGTTTCTTCTGTGGAAAGGGATGTTTTGCTTACTTGTAAAGTGCTATAGGAAGTCTGACTGGTTTGGATTACTGTTGAACTGCAGTTTAACTGGTAAATATAATATCCTGGAGCTGGGGATTTATAAGGAGAATTTTTATAAGGATCCTAGGGGAAAATAATGGCTTTCCTCTGGGAAGAACTTAAAAGAAGAAACAAATTCGTGTGGAGAAAATGGTTTTACAGTTAGAAATAGTTTGAGATAGCAAAAGGATGACTTGGCTATGTTTTTGATGAATATCTTCCAGTTGTGTTAAAGTGTGAGAGAGTATGTACTTCTTGCAGTTAAGTCAGTTAAGTGTCTGCTTATTCAACCAGAATGATACTCAGAAGCTACAGGCTTAGCCTCTTTAGCTTTTACCATTGACTGATGGATTGACTATAGTTTTAGGGCAATCTCCAAGATTCTCACAATTAAAAATAGTGATATTCTAGCCAGGCATTGGTGGCTCACACCTTTAATCCCAGCACTCGGGAGGCAGAGGCCAGCCTGGTCTTCAGAGCGAGTTCCAGGACAGCCTCCAACACAATAAAGAGAAACCCTGTCTCGAAAAAAAAAATAGTCATATTCTTTTCTTTTGTCTTTTTTTTTTTCTAAGATAGACTCTCTTTGTGTATCTCTGACTGTCTTGGAACTCACTTTGTAGACCAGTGTAGCCTTGAACTCAGAGATCTACCTGCCTTTGTAGGAATTAAAAACATGTACCAACACCTGGTTGTGATATTATAAGGTCCTTTTGAATTTTTCACCTAGTAACTCAATTAAATAATCAATTAAATAATGTAGTTCAGCAGGCGGTAAAAGGGTGTCTGCATTGTAGGACAGTAATGTGACATTTGGATTAATTACTATTTAGCATTTTTTGATTCAGACATCTCATGGACTATGTTGTTTAAATCTCTGGGTCACTAATGGTGTATATAGAGTTCCAATATTTTAGGTCATGTTCCATCACTGGCTTACACACAAAGTAGCTATTCCATTTTAGAAGGAAATAGTAACAAACACTGGGAATGCAGTATTTACCATGAGCAGTGTGTGTCACTTCAAGAAAGGGTACAGAAAGTGGTAGCATCAACTACAAAACACTTCAAAGACAGTTTATGTGGTACTGGAAATGATATAAGGGTTCTCTTAACCTCACCCAACGCTCAGTGAACACTTACTTGCCCTCAAATAAGACAGGTGTTTACAGGATTTTGAGTAGGTTCCTTCTAAACCAACATGTACAAAAATAGTAATATTCTCAAATCCAACAAAACTTGGGGAAATGGAACAGAGCACTACAAATTACAGCAGTTTTAAACTTGAGTTATTTGAGAAACACCTTATTTTTGCCTCATGAGCATTTAAGTGGTAGTAAGTATAAAAACATAATGCCAAATTCTATTTTTTGTCCAAATCTTACTCTTAAATGATATAGGAGTCACCTTAATTGGGAAAAATTTGTAGGAAATATTGAAGGTTCTCTTCTTTCATATTTGGACATAGCTGATATTAAAAATACTATGTGATTGGAAATATAAACATTTCCATATTAGATGAGTTATGATAGACGCAGAATTAAAACAGACAAGCATAATTATTTGCCAAACATTTATTGAAAATTTTATATTCCAATTTTTTTCAACAAGAATGTCTTTAAGGTACTATAAAGCCTCAAATGATTGTGGGCTGATAAATCTAGTCAAGAGACCTCTAGAATTTGTTCTCTCTCCATATACTTTCCCTTTTCCTTCTTTCATCACTGTGAACTCTTGCTGGACCCAAACAAGACAGATGTTTACAGGGTCTTCAGTAGGTTCCCTCTAAACCAAAATGTACAAAAGTAACATTCTCAAACCCAACAAAACTTGGGGAAATGGAACAGAACTCTTCAAATTAAAGCAGTTTTAAATTTGAGTTGTTTGAGAAACACCTTGCTTTTGCTTCGTGAAATTTTAAGTAGTGCTAAGTATAAAAATATGATGCCCAAAACTAATTTCCTGTCCAAGTCTTTCTCTTAGGTAATATTTCTTTCAGTTATGAACTGATTTCACATGGTATTTTTCTGCATAAGTCAACTCCTCCCATTACTTGAGGACTGTCAAAATTATGCAACAAAAATCGAGAAAATTGTTTGGTTACCTCCAAATGGAATTTTGGCCAAAGAAAATGTCAATATAAACTTACAAAATGAGAGCTCCCAACAAGATGCTTTACTAAAAACAGTGGCTCAATTATTTTGAATATCAAATTGCTACATTATTCTTGTTTATGAAGGCAACAAATCAATGTGCTTCTCAAACAAAATTCCTTTGTAAAATTAAATGACTTCTTTTTAAAAGTCTGCACTAAAGAAGAAAGACATCTTGCAATGAAGAACTACCCGAGGCAGAATGAAAGACAGAAATAGAAAGAAATGAAACAGATACAGTTTAAGATTCCGGAAAAGACATCCTAAGACCAGAGAGTTTTCCCACAACCAGAAACACGTGAGCTATCACAGTGTTTCTCATCTTCCTTTGCTTGAAAAAGAAAACAAATATTGACTGGTGCCGGGACTTCCGCAGCATTCTTTAAGGGCGGTACTGAGACCTCTGCTCTTGAATATATTCATAGAGAGGGCTGGAACGCACTGGGACATTGGCAAACTGGCGTGTGCCAGTCTCCAGGATTTGGCGGCGCCTCTGCTCCGCCTGCCTACGAATCTGCTCTTCTTGGAATTTTCTCTCCAGCTCTTGGCGGCGTCTTTGTTCCTCTTGACGTTTTTCTTGTTCCTGACGACGAATCTTATCCCTGGCAAACTGCTCCTCAGCCGGGTACTGACCATCTCGGTTCTGCCTCCGCAACTGCAGTTCTTCACGTTCCTGGCGCAGCTGCTTCTCCTCCCGGAATTTCCTGTCTCGCTCTTTGCGAAGCTGTTGCTCCAGTTCCTGGTGTCTACGCTGCTGCTCCTCAAAGCGAAGCTGTTCTTCCTCGAATTCCTGGAGGCGCCGCTGCTGCCCCTCGCGTTCTTTCCGGAGCTCTGGTTCTTGGCGGAATCTCCGGTCGCGCTCCTGACGGCACTCTTCTTCCTCAAGGAATTTTCTGCCACGTTCCAGGCGTCTCAGGTGCGCTTCCTCCAGTTCCTGGAGGCGCTCTTCTTCACGGAGTTTTCTGTCACGCCTGAGCTCTTGTTCCCTGCGGACCTTTCTATCCCTTGGGTGCTCTTCCTCCAGTTCCTGGCGGAATTCTTGTTCCCTGCGGAATTTTCTGTCACATTCCTGTCCATGCTCTTCTTCCTCACGCTCCCTGCGAAGCTGCTCATCCACCCTCAACTTTCGGTCTCGCAGCTGCTTTTCCTCGAGTTCCTGGAGGCGTTCTTCTTCCTCATGGAATTTTCTGTCGCGCCTTAGGTCTTCTTCCCTGCGGACCTTTCTATCCCTTGGCCGTTCTTCCTCCAGTTCCTGGCGGAATTCTTGTTCCCTACGGATTTTTCTGTCACATTCTTGTCCGCGCCTCCGCTCTTCCTCGCGCTCCCTGCGAAGCTGTTCCTCTGCTCTCAATTTTCGATCTCGCAGCTGCTTTTCCTCGAGTTCCTGACGGCGCTCTGCTTCACGGAATTTTCTGTCACGCCTGAGCTCTTGCTCCCGAAGGAACTTTCTGTCCTGAAGCTGCTCTTCCTCCAGTTTGCGACGGAGCTCTCGTTCCTCTCTGGATTTTCTGTCAAACTCCTGGCGTCTCAGCTGCTCGTCCTCACGCAGCTCCTGGCGAAGCTCCTCTTCCTGGCGGAATTTTCTGTCACGCTGCTGGCGGCGCTGCTCTTCCTCACGCAGCTCCTGCCGAAGCTCCTCTTCCTGACGGAATTTTCTGTCACGCTGCTGGCGGCGCTGCTCTTCCTCACGCAGCTCCTGCCGAAGCTCCTCTTCCTGGCGGAATCTCCTGTCACGCTGCTGGCGGCGCTGCTCTTCCTCACGCAGCTCCTGCCGAAGCTCCTCTTCCTGACGGAATCTCCTGTCACGCTGCTGGCGGCGCTGCTCTTCCTCACGCAGCTCCTGCCGAAGCTCCTCTTCCTGGCGGAATCTCCTGTCACGCTGCTGGCGGCGCTGCTCTTCCTCACGCAGCTCCTGGCGAAGCTCCTCTTCCTGACGGAATTTTCTGTCACGCTGCTGGCGGCGCTGCTCTTCCTCACTCAGTTCCTGCCGAAGCTCCTCTTCCTGGCGGAATTTTCTGTCACGCTGCTGGCGGCGCTGCTCTTCCTCACGCAGCTCCTGCCGAAGCTCCTCTTCCTGACGGAATTTTCTGTCACGCTGCTGGCGGCGCTGCTCTTCCTCACGCAGCTCCTGGCGAAGCTCCTCTTCCTGACGGAATTTTCTGTCACGCTGCTGGCGGCGCTGCTCTTCCTCACGCAGCTCCTGCCGAAGCTCCTCTTCCTGGTTGAATCTCCTGTCACGCTGCTGGCGGCGCTGCTCTTCCTCACGCAGCTCCTGCCGAAGCTCCTCTTCCTGACGGAATCTCCTGTCACGCTGCTGGCGGCGCTGCTCTTCCTCACGCAGCTCCTGCCGAAGCTCCTCTTCCTGGTTGAATCTCCTGTCACGCTGCTGGCGGCGCTGCTCTTCCTCACGCAGCTCCTCTTCCTGACGGAATTTTCTGTCACGCTGCTGGCGGCGCTGCTCTTCCTCACGCAGCTCCTCTTCCTGACGGAATCTCCTGTCACGCTGCTGGCGGCGCTGCTCTTCCTCACGCAGCTCCTGCCGAAGCTCCTCTTCCTGGCGGAATTTTCTGTCACGCTGCTGGCGGCGCTGCTCTTCCTCACGCAGCTCCTGCCGAAGCTCCTCTTCCTGGTTGAATCTCCTGTCACGCTGCTGGCGGCGCTGCTCTTCCTCACGCAGCTCCTGGCGACGTTGGTCTGCCTCACGCTGCGGGAGGAGCTCTTGTTCCTCACAGGGTTTTCTGCCGCGCTCCTGCCGAAGTCCTTTCTCAGGCTCTTGGCGGCGCAGCTCCTCCTCCTCCTGGAATTGTCTCTCTTGTTCTTGATGCCGCCTCTGTTCTTCCCTCTCCTTCGTCAGCTGCTTTTCCTCCTCGAGGAACTTCTCATCCCTCTCCTGGGGTCGTCTTCTCGAGTCTCTCAGGAGCTGCTTTTCCTCCTGGAGCTTCTCATCTCGTCTTTTGGCTTCCCTTTGGTGCTCTCTCTGCAGCTGCTCTTCCTCTCGAAGAGGTCGCCGATCCTGACGCAACCGTCTCTCCTGCTCCAGAGGATCTTCCAGCTGCCGGGTCTTTTCTTCATCCTCCCTGCGTTTGGAGAAGAGCCTGCGCCTACGAGCTTCCCTCTCGTTCTCTGGTTGCCACTGCCATTTCAGATCCCTACGCTGATCTGCATCGCGCAGCCGCTGCAGGTCCTCCTCTTGATACTGCCTCCCGCGCTGCAGGCGCCTTCTTTCCTGCTGCAGCCGCTCCTCCTGCTGCTGCAGCCGCTCCTCCTCCTGCTGCAGGTCCTCCTCTTGATACTGCCTTTCCCGCTGCAGGTGCCTCTTCTCCCTCCGCAGCTGCTCTTCGCGCTGTAGCAGCCGCTCCTCCTCCTGCTGCAGCCGCTCCTCCTCCTGCTGCAGCCGCTCCTCCTCCTGCTGCAGCCGCTCCTCCTCCTGGAGGTATCTCCTGTCCCGCTGCCGGCGCTGCTGCGCCTCTTCTTGCAGCAGCCGCTCCTCACGTAGCTCCCGGCGCTCCTGCTGGCGATGCCCCTGGCGTTCCTCCAGGAGGCTGTCCTGGAGCTCCGCTCTCTGCAGCTCCTCCTCCCGGAAGCGCTGCTCCTCCTCCACATAGCGCCTCTGGGATCGCTGCTGCTGGGGCTCGCGGAACCGCTGCTCTTGCTCCAGGCGCTCCTCCTCAGCAGCGCGCTGCCGTCGGAGGTCGCGGCGCTGCCCCTGCTCCTGCAGCTGACGCTCTTCCGGCTCCTGTCTGCGAGGCCTGGAGTAGACTTTGTTCTGACGGGCTTCCGCCTCGCTTTCGAGCTGCCTCTGCCACCTCTGGGTGAAGCTGTCGTCGGGCTCCTGGAGCCGCGTCTGCTGGTCCTCCTCAGTCACCAGCTCCTGCTCGCGCCTCAGCTGGGGGTCGCGCCTCAGCTGGGGGTCGCTCAGCTCTTCTCGCCTGCGCTTCTGCAACCGCCTCTCTTCGGTCTGGTCCTTGCTCTTGAGTTCTTGCCTCTCTCGCAAGTTCTCCTCCTCAGAAAACTCCTCAGTATCAGGACCCTGGCTCCAGCTTAGCGGCTCTTTCTCTGCAAGGCGCTCCTCCAGTTCTTGCAGTTCTCGTCTTTGCTCTTCCTGCTCCAGTCTCTCTTGCCTCTTCCTCTGCTCCTCCTGCTCAAGTCTCTTCTGCCTGCTCTGGTGCCCTAGTTCTTCGTCCCGTTGTACGTCCCGGGACTCGACTCTCCTTTGGTCTTCTTGCCTGCGATCTTGTGACACGTTCCTCTTCTCATCTAGCCCTGAGGCCTGATCGAGAGCATAATAACAAGCTTGAGCAATCTTGAAAAGGAACAGGAGGAATTCGTTGAAATCGACACGCCCGTTGGAGTCGCGATCCAGAAGTTCTAGGATCAGGTCTACGGTCTCAGGGTCTTGTGGTCTCTAAGAAAGATTAAAACAAACGTTTTATAATTAACTATTTACACGTAGTAAGCTTTTCCTCTCACACTTATTTTATGTTGTTCTGAGATTAGGAGATATTTGGAACAATTAGAAAATGCATAGTGTGCCAAGTAGTGATGGTGCATGCCTTTAACCCTTGCAGGTGGGATCTCTGTCAGTTCCATGCCAGCCTGATCTACAGAGTGAGTTCCAGGACAGGCTCCAAAGATACACAGAGAAACCCTGTCTCGAAAAAACAAAACAACAACAAAAAATGAATTTGTCTTTGTGATCGATGAAATTAAATTTTATGAAGATTTCCAACAGATATTTTCATTCGAAAAATCCAGTACTCCCAATTTAATTTCTATCCCACGTTTGAAGAAGAACTAAGATATTTACAGCAATGCCATTTTAGTCAGGATACAGGCAAATTTCAGTTGCTGAAAGTTGGGAGCAAAAAAAAGTTCCTTCAAGTCTATTAACTGGCTTAGGCATCATTAGCAGTAATGCCCTATTAGTTAACACTTCATTCCCATTAACAATGCCATCAAGTCTGTTAACTTCTTTAGCACTCAGATTAAAACACCAATTTAAACACCTCAGGCTCAAAAGTGAGTGAGGATGTAATGTAGACCTATCATGTTGAAAAACCCATTTTAACCAATAGTCTTTGCTCTGTTCTTTCTTGGGAGGAAAACTGAAAGTCCCACACTGTAGATTTCTTTTTCTTGTCAGGTCTCACCTGAAGGACAGTTCCAAGTTCCCTTTCAAGGAGGTTCTTCAGGTCTTTCTTGCTTAGCGATGCTCCATCACAACTACGTGAGGCGTAGTGATCGAAAATTTCAGCGATATCAATAACGCTTCTTAGAAGTGGAGACATTTTTTCTTTCTTTCAAATTCAAGTAAACCTAGAGCAATAAGATAGGATTCAGAATCAAACCTCTGCTTCTGATATTAGGGAAACTTCACTCATACCGATTTAGACAGATTTTTAGACTTTCCACTAGTACTTATTTCAACCTGTGTTTTCAGAGCATTTTATCCCTAAATATTGTATTCCAAAAGGGGAAGAGGAATATTGAAAAATTCTGAGCCAAGAAAATCACCTTCAAATTATATTAGTCAGCTTTCCATTGTCCATTATTGTAGACTACCTATATCCTCCTCCCCGCCTTTTCTGTTTCAGCATATGTCAGAGAAGATAATGAAGAGATGAGGGTTAGAATTCAAATTCTGCATATTGCTACTCATAGCAACCCCTAAAGTTGAGCAAAAAGGATAGGTAAAAGCCAAGATGTGAAAGAGGACTTGAGCATTTTAAAAAGCAAACAGAGCAACATATAGACAATTGTGTCTGCAAAAACATGGCAAGAAACAGAACAGTGAAAAGGAAATATGGATGTCATCAATTCTAAGATGAAAGAATGCTTGCTCGTCAAAATAAAACATTGTAACATTTAGATGCTGCAAGGCAGAAACACAGAATTCATGTTTTCTGCCTTAACTCGGATATACTACAGCTATTCATAGTTTCTATTATGGAAAGTTCTTTGAGAGATCAGAGCCAATAGGTCAAACAAACGTGGAAAACTTAAATGATATTGGTCTTTTAAGCCTGGCCTTTGTTAAATGCAGGTAAATCACGTGAATATAGATAGTATAAAGAAAGAAGAGGGCTCTCTGGGAATGTAGCTCAGTGGTAGAGTGACTGTTAGTATTGCCAAGACAAAGCAAAACACACAACCCCAACAAATCTTATCCACCGACACATTGGTGTTAGAGGAATACTTGGATGGCTTTGCTGGCTGACTGCATAGTGTTCACTTAGTTAAGTACTTTATTATCATTTGAACCCCAACACTTCACACACCAACTCAAATGTGAACTGTGTGAAGATGCCTATGTCATACCGAACACAAAAAAGAGATCAGAGGATTTGCATACTTTGGGGATAGTAGTTTTTCAGAAGGATGAACCTTATTAGAGGCACACACACTGTTTTTTGGTGTGCGTAAGTATTGAGTTAAGATCCATGAGAGAACTACTGCTATTCAAGTGATGGCTCCAACCATATATTAAAAAGATGGGACAAGCCAAGCATGTAACTCCCCAGAGGTAGAGGCAGTTTCTGTGAGTTTGAGACCAGTCTAGCCTACATAGTAAAGTCTAGGCTAGACAGGGCTAAGCAGTGAGAACTCATCAAAAAAGAGAAGGGGAAGCAGCAGATGGAAGACGTGAGATTTAGCCAACCCTGCAAGGTGGAGCATAGGGCCTACCTTCATTCCCCCAACATGTACCATGGCAAGAAAATGAAGGATCACATAGAAGACAACCATCCCGTAGAATGGGACTTACCACTTCACCAGAGGAAGAAGTCAAGTGCTCGCTGACACTGCCGGCAAGTGTGCTAGCTAACTGGGAGTCTGGCCTTTTATAGGGGTTTTAATTGTGCCCTGGGGAACAACTTAGGAAGGAGACACCCACTCTGTGGGATGACCTGATTCATTCCAATCCCAGCTCCACCTCTGTCTCCAGGAATGGCTTGTTTATCTCACTATTTGCTCACGTAGCTATTTGGACAGGCTTCACAGGACTTGTCTGCTGACTGGGTACTGGCTCCACCTAACACAAAAAGGTAGACTATTTGGCAGATTTGCTAATTTTCTCTCATTGTTAAAATAAAAACATTAAAACAAAGGTGATGGATGTTCCGAATCTTGATGTATTATTTTTTTAAGATTTAATTTTTAGTGTGTGTGTGTGTGCATGTGTACATAGGAGTGCAGGTGCCTATGGAGGCCAGAGGCGTCAGATTCCCCTGGAACTGGCCACATAACATGGACACTAGGAATTAAATTCAGGTACTTTGCAAGAGCAGTAAGTGCTCTAAACTGCTGAGCCATATTTCTAACTCCTGAAACCCTTTATTTTATGTAAAATGCAAATTCTAGGTTGACACGAAACAGGAACTTTGACATAAACTGACGAGAACCAACTAACTTGTGTGGCAAGTGGCAGACCATGAAGAGATTTTCCAAAGCGTTGACCATAAGCCCTGCCTGGAACACTTTGAAGATGATGAGAGGTACCAAGTTTCTTTTCTAAAAATCCAGATAGAAAATTTTATTTTACATTTGTATTCCTCAGGTTTTCCTATAGGTTAGGGGTTACTTCCTAAGTAAATAATTTTGGAGAATATCTTAAAATACGTGTTTATCAAACTGCTGATGAGAAAGCATATTGTGAAATTTCGTTCTTAGAGATATTAAATCTAAATGAAATTTGCTCATTTGTTTTTCTTGCTAGCACATTGAAGCCCCTGGAGAAAAAGAGCTAGTGTCATGCGTTATTGTAGATACAATCATCTCATTCAGCCTAAGTTACTAATGGTTATGACATCTAAACACTTGAGTTGGCCTCTGCTGGAAGCACATTAAGGTCATTCTAGCCCATTATAGCTGTCAGAGCTTTCTCAACCCTGGTGATCATTTGTGAATCTTGGTGCCATTTTATTGTAAGGAACTGGATTTACTCCTGGTTGCCAGTGACTCCCACCCTTCCATTTCATACTACATGAAACTTTGGTTCATAATAGGTTTATGGAGACTATTAAATGATTCAGCGGCTTCTCTGAAATTCTGTCTCCACCAAAAGCAAGTATTGGTTTTTGGAATTTTGAGGAGAGTTTAGTAACTAAAATAAAAACATTAAAACAAGGGTTTTATGTTCCTTTCGTGGTATGTGAGAATCAGGAGCCTGAATCTTGATGCCTGTTTCTTACTTTGCTCACTGCTCTCCCAGACATGGATTAACTAGAAGGTTGAAGTGACAGGAGAGGAAAAGACAGTTGTACACCTAGTTTGTTTCTGCTTCTTTGAGACCTTCAGTATGGGAGTCATGATTTCCAAGTTTCTTTAGAATTGTCAGAACAGTCTTTTTCTGTTGGGGTCAGCAAACCGACTGGATGTGGCAAATCCTCTAAGAGTAGTGTTTCTCTTGCTGTTCTCACTAACGTTCATACAGCTCTCTTAGTCTTTTGGCCACCTTGAGCAATATACACATACACTAACTACAAGCCAGCAAACTCCTCGTTCTTTGTGAGACATCTAGTAATTTGCCTAGACATCAAGAGATTCCCTATAACCAAATTATGTCTATTTGTGAGCTGCTTTCTCCCCATTCCTACCCCCTCCCTCTCTACCCCCCACCTCTCTCTGAGGATTTTGCTAGATAGTCCAAAATGGTCTCCAACCCTCCTGTTGTCACTTCTGGAGTCTGCTTCTGTTTTTTTCCAAGTGTGATCTGTTAGAAAATCTTAGTCCAGGTTTTCTGTCCTGAAATAAGACTTAAGTTTAGTGATGTCTTTCTTACCCAGTCCTCCCTAAAGGGAGTAAGACATAAAGGAAAATATTCAAAACCTCCACAAGTCTCAGATCATGACTTTTCTTCTGGTGTCTTGGTTCATTTCTAAGTAACTTCAGTCTGAAACAGTGCTACATTGCTACATACATTCTTTTATTTAAGACAAACCCTAAAGTAAAAATATATAAGAATATCATTTCAGGGGGCCAGATCAAGGGCTCACAAGTTAAATAGCACGTGTTGTTCTTTCAGAAGACTGCTTATACCTTCTGTTATTTCAGTTACAGGGGATTTGATGGCCTCTTCTGTCCTCTGCAGCTGCAGGCATGAAGACTGTGCATACACAAATGGGCAGGAGAATACCCAAACACGTGATTCTTAGAAGAATATAGAAACAAACAAAATAAAATCAGTAAGGTGCAGTGTTGCACACCTTTAACACCAGCATTAGGGAGGAAAGCAGATGTCTGTGAGTTCAAAGTCAGCCTGGTCTACAGAGTGAGTTCCAGGCCTGTTACATAGTATAACCCTTTCTAACAAGAGCAACAGTAATTAAAAAGTAAACTTCAGTATCAGTTTCTAATGGGATTTTTGGAAGAAAAAACAATTTTAATTGTTTTATAGTTTCAGTAAAAGATGTAGAAATGCTAGCAAATATAGAAAACTAGAAATCTATGAGAATGGTAGTATCCAATCACATTTCATCAAAGATAATGTTATTTTTATAATGTGAAAATATCCAGGTTGTTGGTTTTTTTTGTTTTGTTTTGTTTTTTGATTTTCTTTCTTTCTTTTTTCTTTTTTTGGTTTTTGAAGACAAGGTTTCTCTGTGTAGCTCTGGATGTCTTAGAACTTGCTCTGTAGTCCAGACTGGCCTTGAACTCAGAGATCCACCTGCCTCTATGGCCCGAGTGCTGGGATTTAAGATGTGCACCATCACGTCTTCATATTTTTATAGATAAAAGATCTCATTGTTTAAAAATATTTAAAATTGCATTTTTTTACTTGGGTGGAGGGGCATGAGTGTGAAGGTCAGAGGGAAATTTGTGGCAATGTGTTTTCTTCTTCCACCATGTGGGTCCTGGGGATTTAACTCAGGCTTTTGGGCTTGTTAGCAGGCACCTTTACACACTGAGTCATCTCACTAGCTCTGGTCTTTATTTTTAAAGATGGAAAACTGAGGCACTGAGAAGTCAAAGAACATTGTTACCAACTAGTATGGGAACGAACTGAGTACCCTATTTCATTTCTGCATGAATATTCTTTATCCCAAGAACATACAGTTCTAGACTGATATTTGGTTCTTTATTACAGAAGAATTAAAAGGAAGTAATTAAATATATTTATGAGGAAATTTTTATCACATTTATTTATTTGTGTGTGTGCATGCGTGTGTGTGTGTGTGTGCGCGCGCGTGCGCATGTGTGTGCTCATGTCATGGCACAGGTGTGGAAATCAAAGAACAACTTGTGAGAGTTGGTGCTCTCCCTCTACCATGTGGCCCCTGAAGATCAAAGT